CTAATTAGTTCTAATTTATTTTTATGCTCAAAATAATTTTCTGAACGTTATTGTGACTTTCAAAAATTTCATCCCCCCTTTTTCAATGTTTGAAGTCATATATCTCGAAAAGTATCTGTGGTCAAAAATCGCCTACGCGCACTTTTTTATTGAATAATGTCTCTAGAATTCATATTTTAAATTTGAGAGTCTCTGCACTGAAATTAAAAGTGTTTTTGGCTTCTTTAGAAATTTCAGTTTTTGAATGGTAGAAACCGGATGTGACTATACCGGAAGTTCTTCTTGTTTCACGCACGGGAGATTAACATTTCCTATTAATTGGTTATAAAATAAAATTCCTATTTTTAAAGGTACTTCCTAAATGCTGAACGATAGAAGTGTTCAGTATAATAATAATAATAATAAAAAAGACGAAAACAATAGGTCTTTTCGACAAAAGTCGAAAAGCCCTAATAATAAACAAAACAAAAACAATAGGTCTTTTCGACAAAAGTCGAAAAGCCCTAATAAACAAGACGAAAACAATAGGTCTTTTCGACAAAAGTCGAAAAGCCCTAATAATAATAATAATAATAAGAAACAATAGAATCACTATAAGGTCTTCCGTGAAGACGGAAGACCTTAACTAGACTCTTGTTGCCATGGCAACAAAAAAGTCTTCCGTTCCTGTATGATACCGTTTGCATTGATTTTTGTATGTAGAGAAACATGTACATAGAGTAATTATCTGAATATTGTAAAGAAACTCGGTTTTTACTTTCGGTACTTGCAGTCCTTTGATTTTTACTGCAAAAATGGTTAATATGACACTGTATGCGTGCAGGTTTTCTTATCAAGAAGCATATTTTAACAATTTTAAGTTTAATGGGTGAGTATCTAGAAAACAATGTCTCACTTACGGTACTTTGATTTTTACTACCAAAAATACCATTTCGATCCTTGCGGTACCTGTGCTTTGATTTTTACTGGCCGACGAAAATAGCTTCCATAGGTTACTTATTGTATGCATTGATGTTTATGTGTAGAAAAAAACCAGTTTATACTAATATACTACATGTACACTGTTGTGAGAAAAAGGTTGGTATGTAAAACAGTCCTCTCAGTACTTAAAGTACTTTGATTTTTATTGCAGTTTTAAGTCGTCAACCTAATATATATATGAGACTGTATGTATTGATTTTGTATGAAGAGAGAAACATGTAAACATAACCTTCATGTAATTTAAAGTAAAAAATGATCCGTCATTACTTTCAGTACTTTGATTTTATAAATGCAAAACGAAAGTAGCTGAAATCTACAAAACGCGTGATCTGATTTTTAAACAAATTATATATTTGGCTTCTATGGATCTATCTCTATTGTGCCTATAAATATCTTTAAAAAATATTCAAAAGCAAAAAAGTCGAAAATTGACCGAAACACAAATTCACTTCCGGTGCGGACAGGAAGTATTAGAGACATACGAAACCTACTTCACAACAAGGACAGTGTCATAATATAAAACTTCTGAAAATTTTACATCTTTACCTCAACTCGTTCTCAAGAAAAATTCCGGACAAAATGTCATTTTAAAATTGAAAATTTAGCCGTAACTTCGGACCGGAAGTGAATTTTTCAAAAAACGGAATTTTATATAAACTTCATATATCAGCCTACTATCATGTGAAAAATTGTCGAAATCTATCCAACCATCTCTTCGTAATCGCGCTCACAAAATTTGGGAGGAATAATAATAATAACTAGATGTGTTCTTGTTGCTAAAGCAACAAGCGGTCTTCCGACCGACTTTTCGTTAGAGATCTATGCTGCGTGATCCCATGAAATAGATTTCAGAATGTATTTTTTTCCCTTTACGTTCATTTACAGCAGTCTCTTAGCATATATCATGATTATTACAGATAAACCATAAAATGTTTTTAGATACAGCTTTTAAAAATCGGCAAAATATTTCATACATGTTATAAAAGTGAGAAAAGTCATTTACAATTGAAAAATGATAGAAACAAAGAAAAAATTTGGGAACGCCCACGGCGGGATTCGAACCCCCGACAGTGCGACAAAGTTCGGTTCGGTCATATCTTTTCAATAAATGCACGCATCAAGATTCTGAACACATATTTAGAATTCTCATAAAACACACTATAAACACTGTAAATCCTAGAGAAAAATATTGAAAAACAAAAAAGTTGAAAAATATGACTTTTTGAATTCACTTCCGTTTGCGACCGGAAGTGCCGACGACGAAAAATAAAGGTCGTATCCCATAATGGAGTTCGATGTTCTATCACCTCAGTGAGTTTCACTTTCATATCTTTAGCCGTTCTCGAGAAAACTGCTGGACAAAATGCCTTTTAAAAAAAACAAAAATCCCCCAAAATCGCGAACGAAAGTGAATTTTGAAAAAATGAAAAACACATCTGGAGATATTCTCATGATGCATAATTCCTGTGAAAATCTTTCAAATTCGTCCACGCACAGCTGAGATGTCGCCCTAACTATGAAAAAAAGAAAAATAATAATAATAAAAAACAGACGAATAACAGTAAGGTCTTCCGATGGAAGTCGGAAGACCTTAATAAAAAGAAACAATACAAACACTATAAGTCTTCCGTTGTGAACGGAAGACTTAACTAGAAAGTTTGCCATTGCAAGCAATAGCTTATGTCGTCCCAGACTGAACAAATCTTACACATTTTGTCATTACTAAAACAAAACCCATTATAGCTAAGCTTGGAAAACCATCAACTCGTATCAACCCCTTCAGTACTTTCAGTACTTTGATTTAAAATCAAAGTAAAAGAATTTCCACTTTTCACATGTTTCCATGCAAACTTTTTTACAATTTCCAATTTTTAAATGCAAATCGCACAATTACATATACTAACCATTACAACTACAAAGTTTCATGAAGAATGTCCAAAGGACCAAAGAGAACACTCGCGGACAAAATTCGTCGCTTTTTGTAGGTTTCCATGGCAACGGTAGCCATTTTGATAGAAATTGAAAAAACGGTCCCACAACTACCAGTGATCTTCCTTTGAGGAAAGTTTCAAGACGATTGTCCCAGCCATCTCCAAGAAAACGCTTGGACAAAAAAACATGCGTACAATCGCAATATGTCGTCCCGACTTCGTCTGGGACGACATAATAACTAGAAACGATCTCGTTGCGAGCAACGAATAGGTCTTCCGTCCGAATTTTCGAATAGACGATATATTTTCACTATGATCTTTGTTAATACATGATGATATCAAGACTCCCTAATTTGATTTATTTTGTTTGATTTATACATCATCAGACGTCTACAGATGAAAGTCTGTTGGCCCTTCTAGGCCCTTTATTTGAAGGGTCAGCCCCTTTTTCTTCATATGAAATGATGAGGCTCTGGATTTTAAAGACTTCTTGTTCAAACAACTTTTCAGAATTTCTTCTTGTTTTTGAGCTGTGCAGAATAGAAATATTTAGGGGTCAGCCCTTAATGGGGCCTTTTTTCGAAAATTAAATGGTTGTATATTTTTTAGAATACGATTCTGAACATCTTTTATTTAATACTGCTTATCAAAATATTTCTCCCTTTGGAGATATAAAGAATCAAAGATTTAGCATTTTTTCCTCTTATGACCCCTAATTACGTAACTATGATCACAATTGTTCAATATATTGTTGCAGATCGTAAAGATAAACATTTTTGCTTCAGTAATTTATAACAAAATATTGTTCATTAAAGAGATATCAATAAAGGAATTTTGGCCCTTCTGAGACCCTAATTTGAGGAATCAGCACCCTTTTCTTGGCATCATATGAAAGCTCTTAACATTCTGCTTAACTTCTCTTCAATATGTTTTAACAAATTGTGAACAGGTTAGACGAAATGAAACAAAAGGTGTCAAATTTTGTGAGATGTTTCTGAGACATTTTTTTGGGCAGACTGAGCTCCGGTACCTTTTGCGCCAGAAAAATTTGGAGACCCGTATACAACTCAACAAACCTTCCTTTACTTTCACTGATAATCTTGACTCAATATCTTAAGTCGTTTAGGAGGAGTTATCTGGACAAGCCGACCCTCTTAAAATCAGTAAATCGTTCATATCTCACGACCGGAAGTGACGACGTACTTATAAAAAATTTCCAATAAGGTTCAGATCATTATCTATCAGATCTGAAAGTTTCGTGAAAATCGACCGAGTCGTTTCCGAGAAATCGCGTGCACAAAAATCGGTAAGAAAAAAAAATAATAATAGGGAAAAAGAAACCGAACGAAAACAATAAGGTCTTCCGTTGGAAACGGAAGACCTTAATTACACATTGTCGCATAGGTTCACGTCAGAAAATAGCTGAGGCAAAATAATTCCTGAATTTTCCTCTTTAACTCAAGCAATCCTGCATTTGACAGGTCTGATGTTTGTTATGAGATGATAAACCACGTGTAAACTTTCTTAGTTCAGCGGAATCATGGACATTTTCGGCGTTATGAATGTTTTGTTTACTGTCGCGGTGAGGGCATCGCGCAGCTATTGGAGTGGATCCAAGGATTTATGAATGAATAAAAAAGATGGAAATAAAGTTTGATTTCTTCTGTATTATTTATTGACATTATTCATTTGCAAGTAATAGATATATACAAGAAAACGTGAAATGCTAATAAATGCAGCTTAAAATCTTTATTTTCTCAAGATAAAAAAAATTAAATTAAATAATTATAAATTCTACAAATAAAACATAGGAAGAATGAATGATGGCACGTTATCAGAAGACATCAGGGGAACTAATTTTTATGAATGAAATTTTTAAAACGTTACTTTTACGTTGTAGGTGTTATATCTGCGAAGTCTACCTGTCTGCACGCTTCCGGGAGGGGGGGTGGGTTCTTGAATATAGGTCTACTTGTAAATTACCATTATTTTGTAAAAAGAATTAAGCCTTATCATTTTCTTTACTTTACAATGAGTGTCTTGTTATGTAAATGTCAAGGTCAGTTTATGTAGAATGTAAAAATTAAAGCCGAATTGGCATTCATTTCAATATGTGAGAAAGGTGAGAGCTAGGTCTTTTACAGTTCACAAAAAAGAAATGGGGGGGGGGGTAAGATGAACACATATAATATATTCAATATACACACTTTATTTACTAAAATCTCGTCTCAATTGAACCAGGGAAGTTTTTTCTACAGGTCCTTTCGCCATCGCGTCAAAGACTTTACCTGCACACTTGTGTATTGCACAATGGGTTTTCCCCCCGCGAAGTCTATTTATGAGAAAATGAAATGAATATTTTTTAGTGTTTAAGGAAACGTTGAACCTACATTTGCGAAAGTTCTCAGATATTCAAAGATATTTAATTCCTTCTTAATCAAATCAAGAAACTGTTTATACGTAAAATCATCAAAAAGGGGCTTTAACTTTCACCATGAATATCACAGAAAAAAGAAGAAAGAAAGACAAAGAAATGTTCAAAATCGAGTTTTAATTCCCTTTTCTGTGACGACCGGAAGTATTGACGACGGAAAAAATGTTAATGGACAAATCTTGAAGTCATGATCTATGATATCTGACACAGTTAACTTTCATATCTTAATCTGTTCTGGAGAAATGGACCGGACAAAGGTCATTTCCAAAATTTGGTCAATACGAAAATAGTAAGAATACTAGATGAGATCTCGTTGCGAGCAACGAGTAGGTCTTCCGTTCGATTTTTGATAAGGTTATAAAACAACTTTAAATGAAAAAAAGTGTTCAGATCAATTATTCAAAATACCTGAGAACACATTTAAGAGTGAAATCTATCAATTTCAAACAACTTCCGGTCTTTATAATTCACTTCCGGTGTGACCGGAAGTACTTAAAATGACCTTTTACTCCTTTCTGAGTGTAAAGGAATCATCCCTGATAATTTCGAAGAAAAATGCTCATTTTTTGGACTACTTCCGGTTTGGAAAAATAACTTCCGGTGGACATAATATTACATGAGACACTCTATTTGCCTTCATAAGAAACATTTAAAAGAGAAAAAAATAAAATTTTGCATATTTTTAAACTACTTCCGGTGGACGACGGACGCAACGGCAACAAAAACCATATATCCTTCTCAAATCTAGGAGTCATAATCTATCATCCTTGAAAGTTTCAGGACCCAATCTCCAGCCGTTTTCGAGAACACTCTCGGACAAAATGACACTTTTAAAGCAGAAAAATGGCCATATCTCGCGACCGGAAGTGACGACGGCAAAATAAAAAAAAACGCATGAAGTTCAATTAGTTTCCTATCATTTCTGAAAGTTTCATGAAAAACTGTCGAGGCATTCTCGAGAAATCGTCTGCACAAAATCGGTAAGAAAAAAAAGAATAATAATACAGTGAAACCTGTCTAATCCGACATGCACTGGGAGACGAATTTTGTGTCGGAATAGACAGGGTGTCGGATTGCACAGTGTTAAATACATGGAAAATAGTAAATTGGGAAAGAAATTTAACGTCGGAAATCACAGTGTGTCGGATTATTCAGGTGTCGGATTAGACAGTTTACACTGTAATAATAGTGGAAAAGAAACAACAGAATCAGTAGAAGGTCTTCCGTTGGAGACGGAAGACCTTAATAAGAAACATAGTAAAAACAATATGTTCCCCAACTTCGTTTGGGGAACATAATTAACTTGAATCTGTGATATATTCTTGAGAAAGTATGTTGTTACATAATATGGTGATGTTTCAGTGAAAATGCATTCTTGGTAAAAGATCAAGAGCTTTTAAGTCTGTACAGTTTTCATGTCAGCTGGTAATTTTATGTTTTTACTGTGTACAGGGAAGTTTTTGTCCCAAAGCTATTTACACATTCATTTCCAGTGGCTGAGGAGATTGATAGAAATGAAATCATACAGTGTTTTTCTTTTTAACTCAACTGATTGTCAGTGAGCAATTCTAAAATGTTGAATATTATTTGCAAATGTGGCAGAACAAAAATAAAATGGAGTGAAAATAACCCTGTATACATTTCAGTAAAATTGTTGCATAATATATATGTGATAATGTCCATATACTGTATATAGTTTATAAATATCATCTATGATTTATTTGAGATTTTTAATGGGATAAGTTTAATTATAATGTGTAATCACATTCGGGTGATATAAAAGATGTCCCATATAGTGTTGTATCACAAGCACCTGTGTGTTGTATATGAGTACCTTTCAAAGGCAAAGAATTTTTTAAGAAAGAGAAAGTTATAAGTAAGCTACATATACTAATACATGAAAATCTATTTGTACTATGTTATGATGTCAGCTTTTGCAAAGCATGAATATTTCTCTGATTTTTTTTTTTTTTTTTGAAAAGAATGTCAAATTTGCAAAGCATTAGAATTTCATTGATTTTTCCCCCAAAGAATTGATTGAAATTTTTTGACTTGTAATGCACCATATTATCTGTCTTTTCGGAGTTGTGATATCAAAGATTAGATTTTAATGAGATTGGTATGACTGCCAGAGATGTGATCGCTCCTCTGAATCAGAATCAATATTCTTAAGTCAAGGAGATGTACATTTCTGGTGGCAGAGAGTTGTTGCACCTTGAATATTAATGCTATATTTTTATATAACAACTATATACATATATAAGTATATAGCATTTAGTTTTTAATTGTTGCAGTACTTATATCTGATGTGGCATGCTTTAAAACTAAGTTAATTAAAGTATATCACTGGACACATTAGACAGTGGCTAATGTTTAAATTTAGACATAGTCCACAGTTTTGACCTTGCAGGAATTCAATGATTTCAAGTTTGATTAACTTGAATCTGTGATATATTCTTGAGAAATTATGTTGTTACATAATATGGTGATGTTTCAGTTGAAATGCATTCTTGGTAAAATATCAAGAGCTTTTAAGTCTGTACAGTTTTCATGTCAGATGGTAATTTCATGTTTTTACTGTGTACAGGGAAGTTTTTGTCCCAAAGTTATTTGCACCTTCATTTCCAGTGGCTGAGGAAATGGATAGAAATGAAATCATACAGTACGTGTTTTTCTTTTTAACTCAACTGATTGTCAATAAGCAGTTTTAAAATGTTGAATATTATTTGCAATTGAGACGGATAAAAAAAAATGGAGTGAAAATAACCCTGTATACATTTCAATAAAATTGTTGCATAACATATATGTGATAATGTCCATATACTGTATATAGTTTATAAATATCATCTATGATTTATTTGAGATATATAATGGGATAAGTTTAATTATAATGTGTAATCACATTCGGGTGATATAAAAGATGTCCCATATAGTATTGTATCACAAGCGCCTGTGTGTTGTATATGAGTAATAGTCTATGGTTTTGCAAAATAATGAACTTAAATTGTGTAACCAGTTACCATGTATTCATAGGTCTTGCAGTATTTTGATGATGTATAATGCCAAAAAAACATAAATAGTGGTTCGGGTTTTTTTTTTTAAATTTGTCATTTGATGACAGTTAGAACATACACATGTAGTTCCTTCTTCATAACTCACCTGAGCCAAAGGCTTCATTTGCTCAGAAAAGTTTGCTCAGGATGAAGACATATGCAGATAATCAATTGCCTTTGTCATATGTTTGTATTGATTTTTAGCTCACCTCAACGAAGTTGGGGGGAGCTTATGTGATACCCTCGGCGTCGGCGTCCCAGGTTAAGGTCAAGTTTTTGGGGGCAGTTTTCTTTTTAAGTACTTCTATGTCCTATATTGATTAGACATGCATGGAAGATGCTTCTAGTGTCTTTCATTGTACCAGTCCAAGACTCAGATACTGCAGTTTAAACAAAGAAATGACCAGATTAATGTTTTTTGGAGCAGGTTAACATTTTTGATGCAGTTTTTGGTGTAAGTTTCATTTCCAAGTAACTATAAGCCCTATGTTAACCAAACTTGCATGGATGATACATCTAAGGATGCATACTACTGGGCTTGCTTCAGATGCTGAATCTGACCTACATTTTCCGGTTGAGTGAACAGGTTAAAGTTTTTGGTGCAGATTTCAATTCCAAGTAACTATAAGTCTTATGTTGACCAAACTTGCATGGATGATACATCTAAGGATGCATACTACCAGGCTTGCTTCGGATGCTGAATCTGACCTACATTTTTCGGTTGAGTGAACAGGTTAAAGATTTTGGTGCAGGTTTCATTTCCAACTATCTATAAGTCCTATGTTGACCAAACATGCATGGATGATACATCTAAGGATGGATACTACGAGGCTTGCTTCGGATGCTGAATCTGACCTACATTTTCCGGTTGAGTGAACAGGTTAAAGTTTTTGGTACAGGTTTCAATTCCAAGTAATTATAAGTCCTATGTTTACCAAACTTGCATGGATGGTACATCTAAGGTTGCATACTACCGGGCTTGCTACGGATGCTGAATCTGACCTACATTTTCTGGTTGAGTGAACAGGTAAATGTTTTTGGTGCAGGTTTCATTTCCAAGTAACTATAAGTCCTATGTTGACCAAACTTGCATGGATGATACATCTAAGGATGCATACTACCGGGCTTGCTTCGGATGCTGAATCTGACCTAGATTTTCTGGTTGAGTGAACAGGTTAAAGTTTTTGGTCCAGATTTTATTTCCAAGTAACTATAAGCCATATGTTTACCAAACTTGCATGGATGATACATCTAAGGATGCATACTACGGGGCTTGCTTCAGATGCTGAATCTGACCTATATTTTCCGGTTGAGTGAACAGGTTGAATTTTGTGCAGGTTTCATTTGCAAGTAACTTTAAGCCCTATGTTGACCAAACTTGCATGGATGATACATCTAAGGATGCACACTACCGGGCTTGCTTCGGATGCTGAATCTGACCTACATTTTCTGGTTGAGTGAACAGGTTATAGTTTTTGGTGCAGGTTTCATTTTCAAGTAACTATGAGTTCTTTAATGACCAATCTTGCATGGATGATACATCTAAGGATGCATACTACTAGGCTTGCTTCGGATGCTGAATCTGACCTCCTTTTTGTGGATGAGTGAAAATGTTAGTTTTTGATGCATGTTTCATTTCCAATTAACTATGAGCCCTATAATGAGCAAACTTGCATGGACGATACATCTTAGGATACACACTAATGGACTTACTTCGGATGCTAAATTCGACATTTTTCAGATAATAGACCAGGTAAAAGTTATGGTTGCAGGTCTATTTCCAAAAAACTATAAGGCTTATATAACATTGTATAAACCAAACTTGCACAAATGTTGCATCAAGAGATGAAAACTCTCAAATTTGCTTCAGATGCTGGATTTTGATTACATTTTCATGAAGAAGAACTAGTTTAAAATTTTTATGTAGGTCGATTTCAAAGTATCAGATCAAAATTGCTTAATATTTTCATTTTTGGAATGTACACTTTTTGTTAGTTAATTGTGTGACTTTGCCTTACTTAAAGACAACATTCGTTGAGGTGAGCTCTGTAATCTCTGATTACCTATGTTTAAATCGTTCTGAAGTATTCAATCTATAGAATTTTTTATCAGAACATTTTAATCATTTTTGAAAAATCCAAATGAAATGGGATTAGTTCAATATATTTTACTATACAGAAATTTGCATTCTCAACAATATATGACCGACAGATCAAATCTGTAACATTAAATTAACATAAAACTTTCATTATTGGTGTAGGCTGGTGCCATATTAATTGCATGAATTGTGCCATACGTAGGAGATTTCAATGTTTTTATATTACATGCACTCTGTTAGAATAATAATATTATATGTGGTGTAGAAAATTTGTTTGAGTTGTTTAACTGTTTGAAAAAATAAAAATATCTTTGTTTTGATTAATAAAAACATCAGTTAAATTTTCAATTATTCAACAATCACAGCTAGGGATGGTATATTAAGGACTCATATTTATCAGCAAATGTGGAGGTAATCAGACTATTTTAGAGTATATTTTTTATCAGCTCACATAACCAAAGGCTCAAGTAAGCTTTTCAGATCAGAGTGTCTGGCATTCATCTGTTATTTATAAACTTCATATTCTGAGCTTCTGAAGAACTAGTCCGAAAAATCTGACGTTTTCCAGGCTTTTTTAACGATT